CCCCAAAACCCCAAAACCCCAAAACCCCACGTAACTCCTAGATTATTGAGAAATCTAGTTTAACAAAATTTAACTAAATTTAAACATGGCTGATCCCTGGATTACTCCTCTTTTGGAGATTCTGACCTGGGAGATGCACTCTTAATGGTCCCTATACCTGGAATCTTCTCAGGTTCATCCCTTTTAGGAGGAGCTAACTCTTGAATGTCTTCTGTGAGAGACCCACTTTTTTCTTTATCGTCTGATGTCACAGGTTTTCCGAGGCTTTTGGTCTTGAATTTCTCTATAAAAGTAAATTAGCCTAATGATTTCTGACATTTAGAATTCCTTCCAATAAAATTCCTTCTTAAGCTATCGCTTAAGTCAGAGATTTCCTTAAGAGTGCAATTCATTAAATCTCTAGGAAGAGAGATCATAATAGAACAGAATAGATTTCATGAATCATATCAGAGAAGATTAGAAATTCTACCAATAACTCTTCCACTCAGGAATGGTTAAGAATTTTGAATTTGTGACAAAACATTGGCAAAAATAGAAATGGATTCACAGATGAGCTTACCCATTTCAAACTTGGAATAATCTGATGAAGATTCATATTTCTTATCTTCTTCATGCTTCTGAGTACTTCTTGTCTTCTTCTTTTTAGATTTTTCAGCCTTCTTTGCTGAGGCCTCCTTCTTCATCCTTATTTTGTGTAGTAGCTTAGAGAGTCTACTCTTCTTCACCTCTGAATGGTCACTCTCTGATTGCATAGACTTTTTAAAAGCAGCAGATATTCTTGAGTTTATGTCTTTATCACTCGCAATTTCATCAAAATCTGAAAGTTTATTTCATTGGCGATATCTTTCCGTACTCGCTTTTGGATAATTGCATTTTTGTTTCCTCTCTAAGGCTGAACTTTAAGGAAGAGTCGTCTTTGAGCATTTGGTCAACAATTACAGAACTCGTGGGAAGATTATTTCGCCTTCTTGCTTTTCTTTCCTTCCATTCTATCAGCATCTCTCTGATACTCTTAGAGATAGTCATTAGCATCAAAAGGAATTGAGAACTGAATAGTATGAACAGAGCTAAAACTTTAGCTTCATCCTCAAGTCCTTTACTGTTCTGAAAAATGTACACAGAAGCGAAAATGTAAAGAATGCTGACTTCCATAATTAAATTGCTCACTAAAGATTAAAAGAAACGTACCTTTCTGAAACCTGTTTTCAAACATTGGATAAAACAGCATCACCTGGATTGTGATCGCCTGAACGAGAACATGGAATGTGATGTGGATGTTGGGGTCAAGAACTCCCAACATTATGATGTTAATACTCAATGCCACACGACGTAAGGTAAAGGTCATGTGATACGCAACTACACCTCCTTTGGTCATTGGAGTTTCAGTTAAAATTTCTTCAAATTTGTGACTCCACTTGGACATCTCTGTTCAAGTTGCATAGAAAACAATGAAGCTATTAAACCCTATTACGAGCAAGACAAACACAAATAAAGTGATATATGAAAATGCATCAAAAACCCCATTGAATTGAACACTCCTGAGATTCACTAAGGAGTATATGATGCCATCTAGCATGATCTCTAGATAAATTCTCACAAATCCATTTGCAAAGAAAATAAATTTTAGCTTCTTAATTACGACTGATGTGTCCTTTTTCTTTAATTTTAGATAGAGATATGACAGTCCTGCCATTAGAAGAGTTGTAGTTATGAAAATAAATATGACATCAACCAGAGTAGCAAAAGTGTAATCGATGAATCGGTACGTCTCAATTCCATAGTCTTCAAAATACTGACCGAGAAGTTCATCTCCATCCATAATTTTCATGATGCTTGCATCTTCATCAGGTTCAGGGAAGAGTAAGTTATATAAACCAATGTCTAAGGCAGCCAAGACCGAGCTAGATTCAATGGTCTGTCTTACTGCCAAAGGAATATTGACTTTTAAGAGCAGAATAGTACGTAAAATTTGGAGAGTATTTATCATTACCCAAACGTTGGGGCTGATAGTTCCCTGCATGGCTCCTGTGATAAGCATGCCTCCAACCATTGCTGCTCCTAATCCTTGGATTATGTTCCCGTCAATGATCTCGTTTCCTCCACTGACTCACTGCCTTGCATAATCGAGAACATACCCATTGTCGCAGACATCTCAAACATCGTTCTCGGAACAGGTTTTGCAGTTGGATATTCACTTCACAATGAGCGTGAACTCGTAGTAGGTGTGGTGGGGGTCTGCCTTTGCAACTGCCCGAGCCAGGTAGGACCCATCCCTAAAGGTTAGACAAAGCTTACGGAAGACCTGCTAACTTGACTGTGTAGTTTCCATCTTGCTTGGTGAAGGAGTACAATGAGCTTGAAATTGGATTTACAAGGCTAAATATTTAAAACTCTCCAAGTTCTTTAAAAGATGAAATCATAAATCCTGCAAGATTGCAAATTTGAGTTTAGGCTCGGTAGAACAAGATATAGCGAAGGAATCAAAATTTTTACTATAATCGAAGATAGGTCACCAAGCAAGGATGAAAAATGGACTTTTTAAATTTGTTAGGCTATTCTTTTCTGAAGATTCATTAATTTCAATTTTTTCAAGAGTTGTTAGAAAAGATTAGGTATCCAATAAATTTTAACCCGGGTAGATTTTAAAGAAAGTGTAAAGATATTTAGGACATTGATATTCTTCGCTAGCCACAAACATAGGTTTTAAACCAGACAACCATCGAACTTACTCTGAAAACTCAAATAGCTGAAACGTCACCTCCATGACCGAGTCTTTCAAACCATCTTTGGTGTAAGGTTTGTTCAGGTTGAAGCTTCCTGTGTTTGGAATAATTTTTGTGTCTTCTTCTTGGCATAATCCTGCAGGTGTACTAGAAGAGCAACCCTCAGTGGTATTGAACCCAATGGATACCTCTGAAACTAGCTTTAAAGTAGATACCTCAACTTGCTTATAAGTATATGATGCCTCTTTCACTTCATGCTCAGTTTTATCCTGAAAGAAATCTGATGAAGGAGAATAACTCAACAATTCAAAATCTGCAGGTGAAGTTTTCGGGAAAGAATAATTGTCATAATAAATGCCATTAAGAGGGTAAAAGAGCGAAGAATCAGTTGCAGATGCTAGATTAGCTTTCCTTGAATTAATTTTAAAAATGTACCCTCCTTCTGTTGTCAAAACATAATCATTACTTTCAAAAGTGCCATTTCCATCAGGAATCTTTGCTATCCCCGCTGTTTGGTAATGAAAAAGGATATCAAACTGAACATTGCTAACAAAGCTTCCATCTGCGAGGCTGATTGCTTGAGAATGGTAATAGGAGTACTTAGAGTTTGTATTCATCAAGATAAGTTGGTTGAACCCAGAGTGAATAGCAAAGTCCAAACCTCTCACTCTATTTGATGCATAATCTTCAAATTGAACTTCCCAATTGAGAGACCCATCAGAGGCTTTGAGAGCATACATGTACACGTAATCTTTGTCTGTATAATCTGTTGCATTATAATGCCTCAACCTTGAACAGATCACGACCTGGTCGTTGCCAGAGTCGTATCTACTTAAGTTTTCTAGAGAGGTGACGTTCAGTACAGATGATGTCTTTTTGCTGATGTACTTCATCCAGTTCACTGTATTGAGATCTCTGGTTATCGAAAACACCGTAATATACTCAGTAGTCGAATCCTTAATGATTCCCGACACCAACATGTTGGTGAAGTCTTTATTAAAATCAAAACTTCTGATCCCTGGAGATAGCCCAGATGTTTGGAAATTGGAGCTCAGTATCTTATACTTGAGAATGTTTGTAATGTACGTATCAAGGACTTCAAACTGGAGAAGAAACGATGTATGTTCACTGATGATGAAGTCTAGGTGATTCCCAACTGCATAAAATATGTTACTGCCATTTGCAGCGGAGGAAGACAAGGGTTTGATATCATTAATAGTTGGCCCAAAGACATTATCAGTGTCAACCTTGAATCAGTTATCTTGCTTCATCACCATATCAGTCGTTGTTATCACTAGGATTTCTGCTCAATGAGGTCCAGCTAAAGATGTAGAGTATAATAAAAGCAAAGATTCATCATTACTGAGTACACCTCTTCGAAAATGAGTTATTTTCTGAGTGTTTGAACTCTCAGAATAAATTTCTATTTCTTTAACAGAGGCCTAAAAATCAGATGTTAAAATTACTTTAGTTTCAAGGTTGATTTTGGTGATGTTTGACGCGATGAGGAACAGATATCCATCGCTAGAGACTACAGGGTATCCCCCAATATCGTCTGCATAAAGAACAAAGTTATCGTTGTCTGGTAAAGCAACAACGCTTATTGCTAAGAGCAAGGGTAGTAAATTTTTCAGCATTTTCTTTGGAATTGAATTTATCCTATTATTGAAATTCCTTGTATATTCTGATATACGGGGTTTTGGGGTTTTGGGGTTTTGGGGTTTTGGGGTTTTGGGG